GTAAACTCTTTCAGGTAGTATTCTATATTAGAAATGATTTTTCTTCATTAATAATGGCATCTATGGTACTATCACTATTTCTTCAGAAGATGATTCAGAATTACTGCTCTCAGATTTGGTATCATTATCTTCAGAGTCTGAAAAGGGTTGTTGGTTATCTTCATGGGGTTTAACCATCATGACATCTTTTTTATTCTTACTGAGTTTAGGGCATTTAGTGGATTTATGTCCTTTTTTGCCGCATTCATAACAGGTGACTTCTTTTTCTTTCTCTTTATCTTTGTCTCTACTGGTGTAGTCTTTATTAATTTTCTTGAAATCTTTGGAGTAATCTTTAGTAGAACTTTTATTATCTCTTTTGTATTTCTTTCTTTTAATGTTAGCTATACTTTCTAGTTCATTGATAAATTGAGTCAAGTCATCATCATCATTTAAGGCAATTCTCATTTTGTAAGCAGTTTTGTCGTCCAATTGGGCCAATAATTTATCATTTATAGCAGCATTATCAATATTTCTTTCAATTGCTCTCAATCTATTGACTTGAGTAGTAACCCATTCAGATGGTTCAATATCTCCTTTGATGTCAAATCTGTTCTTTCTGAAATTTTCTCTAACCTTTCTTTTCCATTCAGGTGTGCTGTATTTAGCTATAATTTCTTTCTTCCAGAAATTCCAATCTTTGACTCCATGAGTTTCTTTCTTCCTCTGATTATACCATGTGTTAGCTGCTCCAGTCAAAATTGAATTCAATTTAGAACATATAAGTGGATCTGGTGCTTGGGTATCTTCTTTAAGATTATCAATCCATTCTATGAATTTATAGTGATCATACTCTCCCTTCCCTGAAAAGGTACTCCATTCATTAACTTTTGGCATTCCTGATAAAATTAATTTTTGAATTGTTTTGTCCTGGTCATCAGTTACGTGTGAATGGTGTACTTCAGTGTTAATTGATCTAACTGGGGTGTTAATTTTAGGGTCACTGAAATTCATATTACTGGATTGCGTGTTTGATAAATTAAAGAAAGGATTTGTACTTATTTTATCTGGTATGGTAATTGATGAATTTACATGAGGTGGTATATCCTTTCCTTTGCCGTGAACAGTATGTTGAGATGTTAAATTCTGGCAACTGTTAGGCTCTAGGTTAATTTTAATTAATTCTTCAATTTTATTTTCTAATTTGATGATGCAGGCGGAATTATTTTTATTGTTATTTAAATTATTTAATTCTATCCTGTTTACAACATCTTCAAAGCTTTTATATTGTGAATTGATTTTTTCAAGCGTGTCTTTTTGTAGTTTCTGGAAAGATTGTTCCATAGTATTGAATTTATGGATCATTTCTTTGTTATTATTTTGTATATCTTCCCATTTTTCTTCTACTCTGGTTATTACTCGAGTGGTTTGATCTCCTAATTTCTCAAGCATTTCTGGCAGTTCTTTATGTAATAATTCAAGACCAGTTTCCATGATCATAACTTTATCTCTGATGTAAGTAAAATTATTATCTTCTTCATCAGCTCTTTTATCCCAGCTGCCCTCAATTTTACGGCATAATTTCTTCATATCAGTGGTAATTTTTCTGTTATTTCTTAAGGTATGTTGTACTAAAAAATTCATGTTCTCAGTAAACATATTAACAGCTCTGCGTAGAGAAATTTCTATTGGGATATGTTCATGGGGGACTTGAGGCGTAGAGTAATCACTAGACAATAATTTTGATTTCCTACTAGTAGAATCACTATCAGAACTATCAGGAATTTTTTCACGCGCAGGTGTAGGGGAAGTATTTAAGGCTCCTCTTCCATGAAGCGGTGTTGGCGGTTGATTTTGCCTTTCTCCAAGTGTTGATAAGTCCCTTGAAGAGACCTCCCAAGGCGTACCATCTCTTCGTAGATTTGGCTGCGCCATTGAGTGTTCCTCCCCGTATTCCTTGGGTGTCTTGAATGGGTATTCCTCCCTCTGCGACTCAGGGGTCTCATTGATCCTTCTTGAAGGTCCGGCGCTTCTCGTGGTTGAAGGAGACTCTCCGCCGACACGTTTAGTGGGTTCCAACCCTTGGTTCTTTTGAGGGTCGTCGTCATTCCTCTTAGATCTATCATCGCTTGGAAATCCTCCCGGCAATACTTTAGATGAGCT